TCATCATAATTGTAGCTAACATTTATTAGGTGCTTACTATGGTCTAGGCCCAGCGTCAAGTATTTTACATATACCAGCTCACTTAATCATGGCAATGGCAATTACCCTCCAAGGAAGCTATTATTGGTGATAGATTTTACAGATGAGAAAATGAGGCTCAGAAAAGGAAAGTAATGTACTCCAGGTCTCGGAGTGGTAGGTGATAGAGACGACATTAAAACAACTCAGTCTGACTGCAGAGCCTCCGCTTTCAACCACCTTGCCAGGTTGCTCCAACTCCAACAGCAATTCAAAGAGATGTTCTGCTAGAGACAGAAGACAAGGCACCCCGACGGTCCCCACCTTTCTAAGCCAGTGCTTCTCTAAATTGAGTTAGCATCGGCAAGACGAGGGTGCTTCAAAAATGTAGATGCCTGAGCCCCGGCCAAGACCTCCTGACTCAGAATATCCTGGGTAGGAAACCAAGCATCTGTATTTTTTGTGGGGGTGGGTGGATGAAGTCTCGCTAAGCTGCCCAGGCTGGAGTGCAGTGGCACGATATTGGCTCACTGCAACCACTGTCTCCCGGGTTTAAGTGATTCTCCTGTCTCAGCCTCTTGAGTAGCTGGGCTTACAGGCACCTGCCATCATGCCCAGCTAATTTTTATATTTTAATAGAGATGGGATTTCACCACACTGGCCAGGCTGGTCTTGAACTCCTAACCTCAGGTGATCCGCCTGCCTCGGCCTCCCAACAAGCCCCCTACAAGACTCGAATGCACGCTCAAGTCTATGAACCACTGTTCCAAGAAATGCATTTCAACATCTTGGTATAAATGCTAAACATTTGGGACAGAATAAACCCTGTGTCACCTTGCAACCTCTTGGAAGAAATCTATAAGGTACAAGGCCTTGTTGCTGGCTCTCTCCAATCCTTCTGGCTCCCCAGTCTACAGTCATCCAGAAAAAGTACAGTTTGTATGTCAATACCTTCCACCTAGATGCACCAGTACAGTCTCTGCTGGATGGTGTATCTGTGTGGAAACTTGGAGATTAAACAGTAATCTCCTTTGCTGCCATTTATCTGGCAGCATAGTTGAAAAACCTCGTTCCATCTGTTCAAAGGTGATCACAAATAAGCATGAGTGCTTTGGCCCAGTATATTAAAGCTACCGCTCAACACGTATCGCTCTCTGCATAGTTGGTGCTAGATTTGGAGCGGAGGCTGTCATGTGGCTGCAGCCTGCCAGGACGCACATGGAGGAACCCATTCAATATGGTTCAGCTGCCCCCATGTAGCCCTTGAAGCTGGAACAGATGGCTTTCGTTGGTTCTGTAACTCAGTCTAGCAAGGTTTTCACTTCTGTAGCTCAAGAACTGACAAAGGCACTCTTTTTTGAAGATAACAAAGCATAGGGAAGGAAGACTACCTGGGTACAAATCCCTTCTCTGCCATTTGCTAATCATGTGACTGCTTAACCTTTCGACCTCAGGTTACTTGTCTATAAAATGTGGATATGAGAACCTACCTCACAGGATTATTATTCTACAGATCACCTTTCTACAGTTCTTTCTGTATTTCTACAGACGAGAGCTGCCCACTGCTACTCACAGAGACACTCTCCCATCAAAGATCACCCTTCCCATCTATTGCGCCAGAATGGGACCTTCACATCCTTCAGTATCTTTCTCAAAATTCCTCTTTTCAGAAAACATTCCTGAACTGTCTACAGATAACTCTGATATCTAGCTCCTTCCTCACTAAAATATTCAATGGTTTCCTGACAGTTTGTATTTGTTGCTATGAGGCTTTCTAAATTCTGCATTTCCCCATCATCCCCTTTCCTCTTGACCACTAAGTTTTAATCTCAGAAGGTGCTCCCATTCCCATCACACACTGCCTATGATATGAGGAGCCACTTGCTGTCTTACAATGGACCTAAGTTCCTGCCCAGCACAAAGCATGAGAAACCATCAAGCTCCTTCTTCTGAGAATAAAACACAGCTTTATCTTTAGGAAAAGAAAAACAAAACAAAAACCACCTAGAGAAAACTATACTAATACCCACAGATTAAAGAGAGGGAGGGAGAGTTGCAGGCTGGGACCTGGGCAAACACCTGGTCTACTTACACTGAAGGAAAAACCCCTTCTGGAAAATAAGACACACATCTATGAGCATCATCTAATATGCTAGATAATGCCATGAACCTGAAGTGCCAGTGCAAAGGCAGAGAGGCCTGAGCCTATGGAGCTGCCACAGGCAGGTAGATCACCGAGGTGGGGAGTTTGAGACCAGCCTGACCAACATGGAGAAACTCCATCTCTACTAAAAAATACAAAAATTAGCTGGGCGTGGTGGCACGTGCTTGTAGTCCCAGCTACTTGGGAAGCTGAAGCAGAAGAATCCCTTGAACCTGGGAGGTGGAGTGTGCAGTGAGCCAAGATCATGCCACTGCACTCCAACCTGGGTGACAGAGAGTAACTCTGTCTCAAAAACAAAAACAAAATTAGCCGAGTGCTGTGGCATGCACCTGTAGTCCCAGCTGCTGGGGAGGCTGAGGCAGGAGAATTGCTTGAACCCAGGAGGCAGGGGCGGCAGTGGGCCGAGATCATGCCATTGCACTCCAGCCTGGGCAACAGAAGTGAAACTCCGTCCAACAACAACAAAAATACCTAGAGACTTGCAGTTAAAATGTTCTCAGAAAGAAGGGAAAGTTAAGCTTCCTACAAATATCTGAGCATATCTGCATGCTCTGGTCATGTTTCCAGGGAGCATTTCCTAACATTAAGAGAAAGGCCCTATTGTTCTCTGTCCTCCCCGTTAGCATCCCCTGTCTACCATCTGCAGACATGGACAGAGCAGCTTGCTCTGCAGCTGAGACAGACCTGCTTTCACACATCCTTAACTTTCATCCTCTGCCTTGTGTGATAAAATTAATCTTGCACAAAGATCTAGTTGATTTTCTCTTGATCTCCATCTTCATTCTTATGAGCTCCCAGAGAATGCTTTAAAGCCTATTCCAAAGCTGCTTCTGCTTCAGTCTAACCACACACCCAGCACTGTTTTAAGCTTAGGGGAATTTACCAGTACTGTCTAGCCTCTCCTAATCTGCACCGTACACGTAAGCGTAGCTGTCCTGGAAACCTGAGAAGCACATTACCGCATAGCCTGATGCCTTGTTCATTCGGCAGGTGCGAGTGAGGCCAGTCCTGTTCCAAGTGTTCCCTGGTACACTTGCAGGGACCCAGACCACATGCAGACCACAGTGACAATGACCCCAGCCAGACATTTAAAGGGAACACAGGGTGCTGTTAGAAGGAAAGCCAATCCCAGCACAGGGACAAAGTCCTGAAACCTTGCATATCTGTTGACCTAGAAATTCTTCTAGGAATTTATCTTGAAGAAATGTTCATGAAAAAGAGCTGACTTAGTTACAAGGATGTTAACGGTAGCTTTAGTTATAAATACAAAATATTTGAAACAACCCAAATGATGCTAAATATACCAAGGCACCACCAGATTATGAGATTCTACAATATCCTTTAGTGCAGGCAGGTTTTTGGGATGGGGAAGGTTTGCTTCTAGGTGTTACGGTAAGGAAGGCCATTACTTTAGAAATACAGGGGGATTAAAATAACCACCTTTTTTTTGTGAAAAAAAGAAAGATACCAATCCAGACATGAAGCCTCTCTTCTTCCAGGCAAAGTAGTTTACTGTTCTGCCTCTGTCCCTTTACTCTACCTCACAGAAACAAGTAATAACAATGATGATGATGATGACAATACCAGTGGCATCAACAACCAGCATTTGCTGAACACTGACTCTGCACCCGGCAACGTATGAAAGGCTTTAACCCTCAGAACAACCCCATGAAATAGAAGGCATCAACCATACTTTACAGAAGAGGAGAATAGGGCCCTGAGCTATTAGATAACTTCCAAGCCACACATAACTGGTGAGCGGCAGAGGCAGAATCACACCCAGACAACCTGGTGCCAGAGTGTGTTTAACCACTGTGTTCTACTGCCTCTCTCAATGTATGTATCTCTAAGGAAGCAGCTGTGATGCTGTTTACATTTGTAGTCACTTGTTTCCTTACTCACTTTTGAATTCCTTAAAGCCAAGGTCTCATGTTTACATTCCCGGTCCCTGGTAGGTGTCGTGTAAACATCAGCTGCATGAATGAACCAGCCTTCGTTCTCTGTGTGTGATTAAACAGTAACCAATAATAGTGGTAGCGGCTCTCAGGAACTGGCCCTTACCACGTCTCAGATGCTGAAACGCACAATTTCATTTAATTCTCACAATTTCCCTATGAGTGGGTCCTCGTATCCCTATTTTACAGATGAGCAAACAGAGGCTGTCTTAAAGCAAAGGCTGAAACAATACTGTATATTTTAGGGCTCAGTACCTGATCATTGCAAAGAACTCAGAAATCCTGAGATGAAAAACAGATGTGATATAATCGTGGTAATAACACTCTGGTATTTGGAACAAGTAGGGCATTGTTCCCTAATTAATTTACTAATGAATTTCAAATATTTTTAGGTGCTGACTCCACGCCAGGCACCATGAGAGGTGGAGTAAAACATCAAGCTGAGCAAGAGTCACATTCTATTGGGGCATGTGATTCACACTAATGGGTATTTCATTACAGCTGAGAAAAGGAAAGGACACTGTCTCTATGGGAATGGCTAACAAAAGAGAAGCTGAAGAAGTAGTGCCTGAGCTCAGTTCTTATTGTGCAGCAGGAGGAAAAGAGTCTCGGCTGTTTGTCCACAGGAGATCTGGAAAGAGAATCCTCAATGGCAGCCCTTCCTTTTCATTCTCAGTAATATTGCTTCCCGTCCTATCAGGGCTGCTCAGCAAAGGCACTTGGGAGGGCACAATGATACAGTCTTCAAGGACACAAAAAGCCAGCAGCGCACAGAGAAAAGCTGAAAGTGTCCACTCTGAGCAGCTGCAGGTAGCATGGGATGTCCCTGAATCCCACACTGACCCCACGCAGCAGAGACTCACGTTTCTCCGTTGACTGCACGGTATGGAAGAGCGTGAGGGGCCTCTCGCTGCAGGACGGGGGCTTGGAGTCGCTGCTCTTCTTCCGAGACAGGTGCAGCTGGGCATTGGTGAGAGGCATCTCGGGCACAGTGTTAAATATCTGCAAACAAAGTTTCACAACAAGGTTACACACATCTGTGAACGGGGAAGAAAACAGGCCTGAAGTAGTACAACGGAAAGCTTGGCAGTGTCTTGGAATTAGCAAGAAAAGATCCAAGAAGACCACTGGCAGTTGCTCAAGATTTCATTTTAAACATTTCTAGGAAATGGCATTAAACATTCTCCTTTGGAAGCTTATCCTAGAGTCTGATAACCACCCACTTCCATTTCTAACCTCTTCCACTACAATTTCCACTGAGCGTCTTTTCATCGTTCTCTCCAGGAAAACAGAAAGCAGCTGTGCTCAAGAGAAGCCACTGTTAATAGCATTTGAAGTTTTTTGACTACCTTTGTCCAGAACCAATGAATCAAAAATCCCTTTATCTTTCTTCATTGGTTCTGTTTCTAAGTTCTTAACAACTACTTCAGAACTTTCTTAAATTGTGAAATATGTATTTAAATAATGTTTCGTAAAGGACCCTAGGGCAGGGCACCATTGCCCAATCCTCACCAATTGTCCTCAGCTGCAGCATCCTTTTTTAGATCAGCAGCTCCGTGTTATCCGTGATGCTGAGCTTCTCCTCGTTTATCTTGATAAGTCACACACACACACACACACACACACACACACACACACACACACACGTACTATGGACAATCTGAAAAATGCAGAAGTCTCAAGAAGAAAACAAAAAATTCTCCTGATTTTACCGCTTAGAGAGAACCACTGTTAGCATTTAGGTTTTATTTGTTTCTAAGCTTCTTTTTTTTTTTGGAGGGGCTTTTATTATCCTTCTAAAAGTTCATGCTAAAAAATGAGAAGTAAATGACAGACAAAAATCATGACAACTCTCATTTTTTTTTCCTACAGATAAAAGTATAGTGGACTTTACTAATTATAACAGCTAATGCTTGTATGGTGCTTACCACGATTATAGTAGCCGCCGCTTATTGCAGGCTCCCTTAGGTACCAGTCATCATACTGTGTGCTTTTCATGTAGCTCACTCAGTTCTCAGCAATCCTGAGCAACAGGTAATGTCCTCAGCATTTTATAATGAAGAACTAAGGCTACAATTGTAGCCACAATTGTAGATACAATTACAGATGATAACAGTTCCCCCCCCCATTCATTTTTAAATGCATACAATAATATTCATGCTAATTCATTCAACCAGCACACACCTTTTAAGCATCTCCTTTATAGGAGGCACTCTGGGTATAACAGTGAAGGAGGCGAACACGCACCCTGTGGATAGAGTCTGCACTCCTGTGGCTATGATTTACTGAGTCCTTGCCACACTAGGCACTAAGCTAAATGCTTCATATGAATGATCCCAGTTAATATTAACACACACTTTTCATCACTGAAATTATATTTTTATGCCATTTGTATCATATACATTTCATCTAACATTATACAGTATTTCCTCATTCATTAAAAAAACCTTCAGACATGATTCCTAATGGCTGCATAATACCCCCACTATAAATTGAAAAATCAAAATTTGTGGATCCGTTCATTACCATCTCTTATGCTTTGAAGTTGGTCTCCTTCTGAGTTTTCTCCTTCCTAAATGACAGTCTCTGATGTATCTAGGGCTACCCTTCGCCCATGGGTGGCCCTAGACACATCAGTCTTTCTCATGGTCCTCTCTCCTTTTGTGTGTGCATTTAAAAACAGAACTCAAAAGCTGATATGTAGGAAGCAAAATCATAAGAATCATAAGAATTTCAGCCCAAACAGCTGCTCTCCGTGGGTTGGCAGGTCCTCGGGCTCCGATGATGCCAGCCAGCTGGTTAAATCAGTCTCACTCCTAAACACAGCTGTCTGAAAACAGCATTATCATATTTTCCCTAGGGGACTGAAAATTTTCAACAAGATAAACTGAATCACTACACGTAGCTGAGTTCAACTGGGGCAAGGGAATAAGAAGAGAAGGAAACAAAGTAAAAGCAAGAAAAAAACTCCTAACTTCTCAAGCAGCTGGAACCCCAAAAACCAAGTTTGCCAGTGCTATAAACATCTCCAGTCTCTTACTGAGCCTCTACAACAGAAGCTCTCTCCTCACTCTTTATTTGGCCATCCCCAGGTGACAACCTCACTGTGTACCATTATCGCGGACATTTAAAAATGGCTCCTATGTATGAGTTTTGTACCTGTCAGGCACTGTGCCAGGCAGATGCATCTGAAGATACATCCCTAAACTGTAGGTCAACAGCAAAGCAATTTGGATGACCGGCTCACAATGAGAGATTGCCTGCCCTGCCACACAGCTAAGCAGGAGAGTGACCAGGAGGGAAGCCCCAGGGCTGCAGCAGCCATTCATTCGGCTAATCTCCAGGCAATCTTCACTACAAAAGCTGGTGTCCCAAACATACAAGAATGGGTTTCAACCTAACGGTGTCTTCCAGCATCTTTCTGCCTCTGGCCTCAGTTACAACACCTTCAGCAATCCCTAGCTAACAGCATTTGAAAATGAGTTCAGAATTAGTGATAGGCCTGGTTTTAATATTTTCCCTCACATTCCGCTTCACCTCTGGCCTGCACATTTTGTCTCTTTTTTTTCTAGCAAGTTACTGAAAATGAGTTCCTCACTCAATTACAATGGGAGCAAAAATAATGTGTACTTCAATTTCAACTGTCAACAAAAATGCGAGTTTTTACTATTTCCTGAGAACTGTAGTAAATGTTGGAGAAACAAAGAAGAGGAACTTGTGAGGAAGGACCATGGCTTTAGACAGATGCGTGAAAAATTGCTTCCAAGACAATATTTATATACAGCAGAGCAGGAAAAGACATGGGAACAAATGAGGGAGTTCACTCTGCTCATCAGCTGTTTCCTCTAAAATAATTAAGTTATCCAAGCATAAGAGAATCAGCTCTGCGAGGAGATTTTTGCCATGGGCAAGAGCCATTGTGAGCCAGGCCCAGGCTCCTGAAGACCGCTGATAGGGCTATTCTCAGGATCAAATTAGATAACGTGCAAGGAAGCATGCTGCAAAATGTCCAGTGCCAGACATGGGATTGTCATAATTACCATTACACGTTCTTCCAAGGTACAGGGTGCCTCTGCAAATTAGATCAAGTCAGAGCAAACGACGCAAATTTTCATTAATGACTCTGGAAAACTGTTCCCCAAGTGACTGTTGTTTATTTAACTCTGACACTTGAACACACGCAAACCGTTTAAAGCCTGTTGACTGGCCACGGGTTTGCCTCCATGCTAGAAGCTCGAGTTGAAATTCTAATGAGAATCTGAATTATTCACAACTCTTTTGGTTATTCCAATCCTATTTCATTTTAGAAGAGATGATTTCAAGAGAATCAAATGAAGTTTTCTTCAGTCTGCAGAGAAGAATCACTGTGCAAATGACCCTGTTGAATGACGGAAGCAGGAGCTCATATAACCTACAAGCCATGGATTTATGGAGCTCTACCGTGTGGCTGGAACAATCTACTCATTTCACAGAGACTTTCCAAATTAACACAAAAGGGGTAGATTTATTTTCTGCCCCAAGTGCCCAGTTAATACTGTCCAAACTCACAAACTAATTCCTATTTAGTCAGGAATGTCTTAGAGATAAAAGTAAGGAAGATCGTAAGCCTTCTGGAAGCTTTTGGGGAATAAAATTGTAAAACAAAAATATAACTCTGGGTAACTCTTCCAAGTATCCCCAATTTCAAGCGTCCTGTAAGTGGAATTAGCAGATCTGTAAATACCAAGCTACTGTTTCGCTGTAAGCTGTGAGTTTCAGTGGTCAGGGGTGGTTTGGCCTCTGCAGTCAGACAGACCTGGGCTGATCCTGGTTCTGCTGCTCATTCAGTGGGCAGCAACACCTACAGCTACACTGACCTCACCATCACTGATGTTGACATCATTGCCATATCAACACATCAAATACAGGAAAGGAATTTAAGATCATCATATGGGTACAAATCAAACTGGCTTTGGAGCTAGGCAGACTAGGGTTCAAATCCTGACTTTGCCACCTACAAGCTACATAGCTAGTAGATTAACTCAAAGTTAACCCTACTGAGTCTGTTTCCCTTGTGCAAGTGGGGATCTAATACCTGCCTTGCAGAGCTACTGAAAAGATAATCCACATAAAATGCTCAGTGCAGTATGTGGCAAAGAGCAGGCACGAGATGGTGGTGGTATAAATGTCAATAAAAACAAAATTTGAGAGCTTATAATGCTAACTTATTTACATGGATTATCTACGCCGATTATGCTACTCCCAATAACCCTGTAAGAGAGGTACTATTATTCTTGCCCTCTTGAGATGAGAAAACTGAGACTCCTTGAGATTAACTGATTTGTCCAAGGTCACATAGATAAGGAGTGCAGCTGGACTGGTACCTAGATAGCTTGACTGTCTGGGTCTTCAGCCCTTGTGGTCTTTATACCCACTATTAATTTGCGAGACAGAGGACAAAATGGGAAGACTTAAGTTTTGGAGTCTGGTGGATGTGATTTTAGTCACTTACTAGCTCTGTGACCTTGGGCAAGTTATATAAGTCTCTGACCTTCGGAGACCTTATTTGTAAAGAAGTCCCAGGACTGGGGTGAGGACTGAAGCGCCTAATACAGTTTGACATTCAGTGTTCAAAAGATATTACTGTAGTCAATAAAAAAGGAGACATACAAAAAGGGAAATAACTGGAGATTCAACAATGGATTATTCGCAGTCCGGACATGAGGATTTAATTTATAAGTGTAAATTTAATTAATGTTCTTTGCAAAACATGGATCTTAACTGCTTACAGCAATGACAGAATTTCCTGTTCTTATTCCCTTGCACTGTCTACAAACTTTAAATTTCACTGATCCCCCTCTGGACCTTCTTGACATTGGAGAGCATTGACACTTGTGGAATTTGTTCTTAGCCATGTCACATATACATTTTTACACCTTCTTCAATCCCATCTGTCACATGTGCCTGCAATTTAAAAGGATTAGGCATTTCCCTGTAATGTGTGTGGTGTGCTCTTTATTATG